ACTTTTAATGTATTTTAGACATCTAATAACGAAGATGAAAGATTTTGATAAAGTATAACATTGGGCTTGATCCAGTGTTCATTGAAGTTTGCAGAAATACTTAACATTATTACTATTATTGTCAGTATGCAACATCCAGGAGTTGCTGCTGTAGTTGCTTTTTCTTTAACCGATTGAAATTCTTTTGATGTCTGTAAATAATGGTTGTAGGTGCTCTCTACCTTTCAAATTCAGCTGAAAGAAACGTAACAACAGTGCCTTAAATATTACTTTCATATAGTTGTTAGTGTAAATGAATTGAAGTTCATATACACATAGAATTGAAAATTACTCCTGATTCTTTCTAAACAAATGGCAAATACAATACAAATGTATTAGTCATCTTGCTTGACCTGAATATTCATTTTTCATTACATGAAAATCTGCCTACTGTAAATTCAGGAAGTCTATGAATATACTGAAGGATCACTGCTGACTCGGCTATAATTTTTTGACAGTTGTGGTACATTATCACTAATGGGTACTGACAGAAAAGTCAGTTACTAACATCTTGTAATAATGCAGGGCTGTGAAGGACACTATGCTTCTCTCTTGTATATTCAGTTCTGAGCAGCTAGTTCACACTGGACTTTGAAGCATGTGGTACACTTAGATTATGCAGGAGTAGTAGTGTGTTTATTATACTGCTTCGGGAATTCTTAGATTGGTTGGACAGGTGAATCTTTCACGCAGGTGGGAAAAGGTCCCTTTTGGATCCTACGCTTAGGGATCCTATGCTTAGATTGCTGTTAAAATTCAAGTTCTTTTAAATCATGGAATAGCTGCAGTTGTTAAACTTTTCTTAATTGCTTTAAGTTGAATGTTGCCAAACTGTTTCTATTATCCTCTTCATTGTAAGCTTTGTCTTTACTGAGCCAACTTTCAGAAAGTATTCAGGTTCAGTGGGTGATGTTTGTTTTCAAGGTTTAGAACGTGGTTAAAGGATTATAATGAAAACCTTAGGAGCCTTAATATTAATGCCATATCTACTCTAACTAAAACCCACAAATGTCTAAATATAGCAGGCTAAGGTTTGAACACTGATGCTAATGTGCTTGCACTACACTTTGTTTGCTGTTTCTGTTTTTGTCAGAAAAGCAGTTGTAGAATATATTTGTCTGATAGCTGAGATAATGTTGAAGCTGGAACTTTCATGACCTTCCTTTCTGACAGCAACTTGTGCTATAAAGGTGCTGATTTTGCATTTAGAAAAACTTGTGGATTTGCTTTCCTTGACTTCATCTAAAGTATTTTGAGTTAAAATTGCTTGTGCTAAATTATACAATAAATCTAAATAGGTAGGAGGGTAAAGGTTTACAAAGTACCATTTCAAAGAAGAGTTTTTAGTAAAGTCTCTTCTACACAGTTGCTCAGGAATGCAAGACAACTGAGAATGCAGAATAAAAGAATGAACTGCAACTTCATAAAGATAATGAATTCTCAGATTTCAAATAACCTGGTTTTAGATTTTGACAGTTTTTTCACTATATAAATTCAACAAAACCAAAACAATTTCGCACTCTTCTTGTCCTGTCCTTAATTTCTCTTAGATTTCAAACTTAGTTTACTCATTCTGTATGCCTGCTTTCAGAAAGTGTCCTATGGATTTCTCCTAGCAGGGAATTCTTTCACCCTGTGTGTGTTTTTAGGTGTCCTGCTTTTTTCCTTTTTTTTTTATCAAATGTTGTTTTTAACTGCTTCCAAGAATAAAGTGTATTTAACATTCAAATCCCAACATGTTGTTCAAATTGTTCGTTATACTTTCAAAATTCTGTCGGTTGTTCGAACAACCCCACTGCTCCTTCAGGCACTTCAAACCGAGCAGCCCTGACCTTTTTCCCCACGCTCAAATAACCTTAAATGTTTGTTACTATATTAAAAATACTAAATGTATTCTATACATGATTTCATTGCAAATACAGAAGAAAATTGTAAGGAACCATGCCTTCCTGAATTAGTAGGATGCTGAAAAGTTGGTCTAAAATTATCTTTTAATATTGTGTGCAAGGTGTCAACTGAATTCAGTAGTCATAAGTAACGTGAAAGAAAATGGCACTGTGGGAACAAGACTTGTACACAGAATGCTAAGAGAATGTACCACAAACTGAATCTCTTTATTGTTATTTTTGGCCTTCTGCTTGCCTACTTGATGCTTAGAAAGTGATGCCCAACTAGATTCACTGTAAAAGCCGTTTTTCAGCTCAGTGCTAAATAAAACTAAATAAAGCCTCAGTCCTGCAAACTTGCACATATTTAGTGTTACTTCTAGCATAAAATATTTACAGACTAATGTCAAAAAGTTCAAAGTCCAATTTTAAATTGCTATGTGTTACTCTAAAAAAGCTAATATTTTATCTAGCACAATTCACGTTATTAAAAAACCCCGCAAACAAAAACCGGACAGACAACAAAAACCCACCCCCACCCCCCCCCCCCCCCCCCCCCCCCCAAACAAAAACAA